CAAGGTGTAGAGCTGGATGAACACAGCAGGCCAAGCGGCATCAGAGGGGGAGGAAGGCTGACGTTTCGGGCCTAGACCTTTCTTCAGAAATTTCTGAAGAAGGGTCTAGGCCCGAAACGTCAGCGTTCCTGCTCCTCTGATGCCGCTTGGCCTGCTGTGTTCATCCAGCTCTACACCTTGTTATCTCTAGTGGTGGGAGAGTGCACTTCAGCTCTGCATTCAGAAGCATAGTACTCCAGATAGGATGGCTGTAAGCTAAGCATTTGACTCCCATTGGAAGGTATGTTTGTGAGATTTCATGGGAGTGCAGCCCCCTGAGAAATGTGGGATTTTATTATGTGCCGTTTACCGTAACAGTTCGATTCCTGGGATGTCAGGACTGATGTATAAAGAGAGACTGGATCGATTAGGACTATATTCACTGGTGTGTAGAAGAATGAGGGGGGAATCTCATAGATACCAATACAACTCTAACAGGACTAGACAGGGTAAACACAGGAAGGATGTTCCCAATCTCCAGGGAGTCCAGAACCTGGGGGTGGAGGTTACAGACTACGGATACGGGCTGGAATGAGGTAAGATGTCTTCACACAGAGAGTGGGGAGCCTGTGGAATTCTCTGCCACAGAAAGCGGTTGAGGCCAAAACATTAAACAAGAAGGATTTAGACAAAAATGTGCAGGTTAGGTGGATCGGCCATGCTAAATTCCCTGTAATGTCCAGGGATGTGCTGGCTAGGTGCATTAGTCAATGGGAAATACAGGGTTACAAGGATAGGGTAGGAGGTGGGTTTGGGTGGGATGCTGTTTGGAGGGTCAGTGTCTATTTGATGGGCTGAATGGCCTGCTTCCGCACTGTGGAAATTTTAATGATTCTGTAATAGATGCTCATGCTCAAGGGATCAAAGGGTATGGGGAGAAAGTGGGAACAGGTCTGGAGTTGGATGATCAGCCATGATCTTATTGAACAGCAGAGCAGGCATGAAGGGCCAAGTGGCCAGTAGCTGCTCCTATGATCTATGTTTCTATATGTGTCAGTTCAGAATGACATCGAATGAAAGCCTAGCAATGCCTGAGCTTCCTATCCGCCCACTTACAAAGGACGTGAGTGTGGCAGGTTGTAAAGTTACAGAAGCTGAGGCTGGGGGTGGAGATCGAATGGAGATGGTTCTGCATTCTGTTTGTAGCTGACCAGATTGTAACCTTGTTTGCCTGCAGAAACCTGGAGCCATAGACACCGGGGTGAGAAGCCCAATGCCCAATCCCGACTTCCTGGGGATGGGGAGAGATGGCACTGCGTGTTCAGTAGTCGACCAGCCAATTCCCCTTGACAGGTTGGTACTGAAGAACATAGATCCGTTAAACTCAGCAGGTACGTGTCTCACCTCAATCTGAGGTGCAGCAGTGTGATTATATTAGAATGGTGTTGCACAATAACTAGGAACCCACATGTAGCTAATTGCAGTTTCTGATTAGTCAATTACGAGATAAATCATTTAGCGCTCCTGTGACTCCTGGAATCGTTTTGACCTTTTTTGATGTTTATTGCTGAAATAATGGGAGGAGGTTCACTGAGCGATTTACTTCCATAGTTACTTAACCACAGGAGATGTTTGTTCAGTAAATAAATTCATTCACCCGTTATCCTGTGTGTACATGTGACTGGTTTTAGATGAAATTTCAAGTCAGCGTTGTCATAGTCACATGTGATGGTGGGAGGTTAGTGATTTCTACTGGACAATACTTGGTTAAAGAATTAAGCACAGGATAAATATTGAAAGAACTGGAATAAATAATTTGTAGTTTTATCCTTCAGGACTGTGCCTTGACTGTACATGGTCACGGCATAGTAGCTCAGTGGTTAGCACTGCTGCCTCACAGCGCCAGGGACCTGGGTTTGATTCTACCCTCAGGCGATTGTCTGTGTGGAGTTTGCACTTTCTCCCCGTGTCTGCATGGGTTTCCTCCGGGTTTCCTCCCACCGTCCAAAGATGTGCAGGCTAGGTGGATTGGCCGTGCTAAATTGCCCGTAGTGTTCAGGGAGGTGTAGATTAGGTGGGTTATAGGGGGATGGGTCTGGGTGGGATGCTCTGAGAGTCGGTATGGACTTGTTGGGCCGAAGGGCCTCTTACCACACTGTAGGGATTCTATGATATTACCATCCTATTCCCTCTATGCCAATCCTGATAGTATCATTCGGCGAAAAAAAATTACAGCAGTCCCTTCAAAAATGGAAAGTTGCCTCAAAGCCAATATTTTCTTGGCAAACCTAGAGGGGAATAGTCAGAACAAGCTGCCAATCTAGACACTTCTTTAAAACTCATTCATGGGATGTGGGCATCACTGGCTGGATCGTTCATTGCCCCTAATTGCCCCTTGAGAGGTGGTGAGCTGCCTTCTTGAACCGCTGCACTCTATTGGGGTTTGGAAAGCCTGAAATGCACTTAGGGAGGGAGTCACAGGTTTTTGACCTGGCAAAAGGCATTTTGAACTAACTGGGCAAAATGCAGGTTCACAAGATTTCCTCAAATAAACCAAGGATGTTGGAAACCTGAAACAAAAACTGAAAGGGCTGGAGAAACTCCACAGGTCTGGCAGCATCTGTGAAGAGAAAAGCAGAGGTAATAGAGGAGGATTGGCTATTCAACAAGATGCAGAGAGATGGGATAAATGGGTCTTCTGGTTGGCAAGATAGAACATAGAACAGTACAGCTCAGTACAGGCCCTTCGGCCCACGATGTTGTGCCAAACTTTTACCCAAAACCTAAGGTCTACCTAACCTCCACCACTACCTTATACTATCATCCATATGCCTATTTAATACCCGCTTAAAAGCCCCTAATGAGGCCAACACCACTACCCTCTCCGTCAATGCATTCCACACCCCTACCACTCTCTGAGTAAAGAACCTACCTCTGACGTCTCCCCTATATCTACCTCCTTTCACTTTAAAACTATGTCCCCTCGTAAAAGCTACCTTCACCCTAGGAAAAAGTCTCTGGCTGTCTACTCTATCTATACCTCTGATCATTTTGTACACCTTTACCAAGTCACCTCTCATCCTTCGTCGTTCTAAAGAGAAAAGCCCTAGCTCTCTCAACCTTTTGTCGTAAGACCTTCCCTCCATTCCAGGCAACATCCTGGTAAATCTCCTCTGCACCTTTTCCAACGCTTCCACATCTTTCCTGTAATGAGGTGACCAGAACTGGACACAATACTCCAGATGTGGCCGAACCAGGGTTTTGTATAGCTGGAGCATAACTTCACGGCTCTTGAACTCAATCCCTCTATTAATGAAAGCTAACACACCATACGCCTTCTTAACAACTCTATCCACCTGGGTGGCAGCTTTCAGGGAACTGTGAACATGAACCCCAAGATCCCTCTGCTCCTCCACACTACCAAGAATCTTTCCGTTAACCCTGTATTCTGCTTTCAAGTTTGTCCTTCCAAAATAAATCCTCTCTCACTTTTCAGGGTTAAACTCCATCTGCCACTTCTCAGCCCAGCTCTGCATTCTATCAATGTCCCTTTGTAACCTAGAACAGCCCTCCACACTGTCCACAACGTGACCCACCTTCGTATCATCCGCGAACTTGCTAATTCACCCTTCCACTCCTTCATCCAAATCATTTACAAAAATCACAAATAGAAGAGGACCCAGAACAGATCCTTGTGATACACCACTCATAACTGAGCACCATGTTGAATATTTTCTGTCCACTACCACCCTTTGTCTTCTAAGGGTCAGCCAATTCTGAATCCAATCTGCCACATTTCCCCCTATCTCATACCTCCTTACCTTCTGCATGAGCCTACCATGGGGAACCTTATCAAACGCCTTACTTAAATCCATGTATACCACATCCACTGCTCCACCTTCATCCACTTGTTTGGTCACCTCTTCAAAGAATTCAGTAAGGTTTATGAGGCATGATCTACCCCTCACAAATCCATGCTGACTATCATGAATCAAATTGTGCCTTTCCAAGTGATCATAAATCCTGTCTCTCAGAGCCCTTTCCAATAATTTGCCCACCACTGACATAAAACTAACTGGCCTGTAATTTCCGGGGTTATCCCTGTTCCCTTTTTTGAACAAGGGAATGACATTTGCCTCTTTCCAATCTTCCAGCACTATACCCGTGGACAGTGAGGACGAAAAGATCATCGCCAAAGGCCCTGCGATCTCGTCCCTCGCTTCCCATAGAATCCTTGGATAAATCCCATCAGGCCCAGGGGACTTATCTATCTTCTACTTCCTCAGAATTCCTAGCACATCTTGTTTACTAACATCAACCTCCTCTAGCCTACCTGCCTGTTTCACAACGTCCTCCTCTACAACTAGGTCCTTCTCAGTTGTGAACACTGAAGAAAAGTATTCGTTAAGGACCTCTCCTATCTCTTTAGGCTCTGTGCACAAATTCCCTTTACAATCCTTGATCGGCCCTACCCTTTCTCTGGTCATTCTCTTGTTCTGCACATACATGTAAAAAGCCTTGGAGTTTTCCTTGATCCTATCCGCCAAGGTTTTCTCATGCCCCCTTATAGCTCTCCTAAGCCCTTTCTTCAGCACCTTCCTGGCTAACTTGTATCCCTCTGGAGCCTTTTCCATTCCTCTTTTCCTAAACCTTACGTAAGCCTCCTTCTTCCTCTTAACCAGTCGTTCGCCCTCTCTCGAGAACCATGGCTCCCTCACTCGACTGCATCTTCTCTGCCTGCTAGGGACAAACATATCGAGCACGTGCAGTATGCATTCCTTAAACAATCTCCACATTTCTGTGGTGCCCTTCCTTGACAGCATTTGTTCCCAATTTATGTTACCCAGTTCTTGCCTGACTGAATTGTAATTACCCTTCCCCCAAATTATAAACTTTACCCTGCCGTATGTACCTATCAAATATTTCACTGTTCTGAAGAGGTGAGTGACTAGACTCGAAACTTTAACTCTGTTTCTCTCTCCAGATCTACGGAGTTTCTCCAGAAATGTGTGTGTTTGTTCCAAGGGGTATCCTAGCTGAGAACAGGGAATTTTTAAAAGGCCACTTGGATAAACTCACCTCCACTCAGGCTCCATCACTAACACCTCATGAGCAATGCCATGCGAGGTCAGCAAATCTAATAAAGCAAATCCTGCTGTGTCTCACACACGGTGAAAGAGCCAATTGGTGGTTAGTCCTTTAGAAGTCTAGAATCTCTACAATGTGGAAGCAGACCATTTGGCCTATCAAGTCCACACCAACCCTCTGAAGAACATTCCAAACCCCTACCCTGTCCCTGTAACCCTGCATTTCCCATGGCTAACCCATCTTGCCTATATCCCTGGGCACTATGGGTAATTCAGCCTGGCCAATATTCCTAAGCTGCACATCCCTGGGCACTATGGGTAATTTAGCATGGCCAATACACCTAACCTACACATCCCTGGGCACTATGGGTAATTCAGCATGGCCAATACACCTAAGCCGCACATCCCTGGGCACTATGGGTAATTCAGCATGGCCGATACACCTAAGCTGCACATCCCTGGACTGTGGGAGGAAGCCAAACACAGGGAGAACGTGCAAACTCCACTGAGACAGTCACCTGAGGGTGGAATCAAAACTGGGGGCCTGATGCTGTGAGGCAGCAGTGCTAAGCTACTGAGCCACCGTGTCACCATTTGTTTACTTTCATTTACTAAACACCTCTGACCCAGCCCTGTCTCTTGCAGGTTGTGGATTACACAATGTTTTTCTAGTGATACATCAAAACCGATATCAGCAATGTATCGGAATCTTCACACTGCAAGCTCCGTCAGAGGCTGTTAAGGTAAGTTGATAAAGATTTGAAAATTTTCTCTCCCTGGGGGAGGGGGGAATGGGGCACTCACCCGCCAAGGGAAGAGCCTGTAGGGATGTGCGCTGATGGTTAAATCTCCCAAATTTGGGATTGAAACAGTCCCTTCCTTTCCCGGTTTCACCTGGAATGTTTGCAGGCAAGCAGGGACCCTCCTTCAGAGCTATCAGGTCGTCCTGCCACTTGCTCTGGCTTTGAGACACAGCACGCTATTTTCTCAAACTCACTCGGGTACCTGAGGTGGGGAGAGATTCCACGGTGTCCCTGGGAGCCCAGGAAAGCTGTGATTGATGGTTAGGAGAGAGGCTGCTGTTGCTAATCACAATCTTCTTCGCACAGTGTGGCTTTCGATGCTGGACTTTGTGCACATCACTACACCTGACCTGGCACTGCACTCAGAGCTTTCCCTTCCAGGCCATCAGTTTTCACCACAGTGGCTCCGTAGCTCATACAGCTTCACCGTGAATCTCGAAGCAGGAACAAGAGAAGTAATGTCACCAAAGTCAACAGCAGTACCTCCTTCATCCACTTCCTGCTCCAAAAGGCAGACACAGAGTGGACACAACAATCCATCTGGCAGGAGGTAGAACCCCTTAACACTGACTCCACAGATAAAGAACCAGCTCTCTCCCCCGCTGACTCAGTCACACTGACTCTGGGCACTCAGGCTTTCCCAGGCCATCATCACTGTGACCTCCTGGGACAAGACTCTTCCCCCCCACCACCCCATCCTGGCTCTGACCTGGGCAAGGGGAGGGGGTCAGGAACAAAAACAAGTTGCTGGAAAAGCTCAGCAGGTCTGGCAGCATCTGTGAAGAAAAGAATCAGAGTTAACGTTTCGGGTCCGGTGACCCTTCCTCAGAACTGGAAACAGGGTCAGATCCGGGGTGGGGGGGTTCAGAACCGAAGGAGGGGTCAGAGCTGGGGGAGGGGGTCAGAGCCGGGGGGGGGGGGGGGGGGGGCGGGCTGGGGTGTGGGGGAGTCAGAGCGGGGTGAGGGGGGAGTCAGTGCTGGGCAAGGGGTTTAGAGTTGAGGTGGGCTGGATCAGAGCCAGGCAAGGGTGTGTCAAAGCCGCGTGTGGGTGGGTCGGAGTGGTTGGGGTGCCGGAGCTGGGGGAAGGGGGAGGTCAGAGTCAGGGAAGGGTGGGTTTAGAGCTGAATGCCAACCACATGGAACAAGGGTGTTGCACCAACCATCTGAATGGTGGCACTATGCAATCACAGTGCTTGTCTACATGTAGCTGGGCAGGAGTGCTCCTTCAGGTATGAGCTGTGTTGTTTAGCGAGGAAAATCCTGAGAGTCTCCCTGGTTAGATACAGAACTGGGTGGTTCCTGGCACCTCGTGGTTTCTTAAAAGGTGCAGCCACAACAGCAGCTTTTTAGTGGGTATTCTCCTTTTTATTGAGTATTCTCCTTTGTCCCCCACACTGAACAGCAAATAAAATTAAAAATCTACAGTATTCATAGTTACTCTCGATTTTCGACTCAAAGTACTTTAAAAATTCTAGTCTCCGAAATAACTCCACAGAGGCTAGTATCCCATTACCAAGTCACTCTTTATTTACACGCGGCGAGTCCTTAACACTGATCCAGCTCCCTCTGCACCAGCTCTCAGAGTGAACAGAATGTCCGACACTCCTGTTTATATCTGTCAGTCAGAGCTCCCTGATTGGACTAGATTAACAGCCCCAATCGGGGAACTCACATTCTGTGAGGTCCACCTGGTTGACATCATTCCAATCACTCCAGACTCAGTCCAGGACTCTCGGTTTTCTGACATCAGTTGTACAAAACTTGATGTGTGTACCTTTACAATGGAATAGTGCTTTATAATATTCACTCGCCTTTCACAGAATGAACCAGTGATGCGAAGGGACACAGTGAAAGTGATTCCATTTCTTCTCTTTCAGAGAACATGGCTGTTACACATTGAAACGGCAGCAACTGGCTACCGGAATGTTCTAGACCCACCACAGCCCTCACTGAGGAGGTTCCCGGTGAATGAATCGTCTGAAATCTAACTGCCTATAAACATGTGTGAAACGTGCAGGGGTCCTGTTTTCAGTCTAAAAAGGTCAACAAAAAACTCAATTGGTGCCTCAGTCTGGCCAGTGCACTTTGGAGAAATCTACCTCCTATATTTGACTTAAAAATCATTCTTGTTTCTAATAAAAGGTATTGCAACAAGCAGAGTTTCCTTGTTTTAATACTCAGCTAAAGTACTGAGTCATGGTTAATGATTGTGTTTCAACACGATGAGAGGTAGACAACGGTGTTTCCAAAAGATCAGTGCTGGGATAGAAAATTAGATTAGAGAGTAAAGTTTCATCGTCACGATCTTAGAATGTGATAGTCCTTAATGTTCCAGGAATGAGGAACTTTAAACAGTTTGTGAAGAGGTAAGGTTATTTTTATTCACTCATGGAACATGGGCATGGCTGGGCCAGCATTTATTGCCTATCCCTTGAGAAGGTGGTGGTGATCTGCCTTCTTGAACCGCTGTAGTCCATGTGCTGTAGGTTGATCCACAATGCCCTTAGGGAGGGAATTCCAGGATTTTGACCCAGTGACAGCGAAGGAATGGTGATATATTTCCAAGTCAGGATGGTGAGTGGCTTGGAGGGGAACTTGCAGGTGGTGGTGTTCCCATATATCTGCTGCCCTTGTCTTTCTAGATGGAAGTGGTTGTGGGTTGGGAAGGTGCTGTCTGAGGAGCTTTGGTGAATTTCTGCAGTGCATCTTGTAGATAGTACACACTGCTGCTACTGAGTGTTGATGGTGGAGGGAGTGGATGCCTGTGGATGTAGTGCCAATCAAGCAGGCTGCTTTGTCCTGGATCCTATCAAACTTCTTGGTGTTGTTGGAGCTGCACTCATCCAGGCAAGTGGGGAGTATTCCATCACATTCCTGACTTGTGCCTTGTAGATGATGGACAGGCTTTGGGGGAATCAGGAGGTGGGTTACTTGCTGCAGTATTCCCAGCTTCCAGCCTGCTTTTGTAGCCACTGTGTTTATTGGTGAGTCTAGTTCAGTTTCTGGTCAATGGTAACCCGCAGGATATTGATAGTGGGGAATTCAGTGATGGTGAAATCATTCAATGTCAAGGGGCAATGGTTAGATGCTGTATTGCTGGGGATTGTTACTGTTGTGTGCTGTAAATGTTAATTGCCTTTTGTCAGCCCAAACTTGGATATTGTCCAGGTCTTACTGCATATGGCCATGAAGAGATCAAAGATAGATTTGATAGAGGTGTACACGATGATGGATAATACAGGTGAAGGAAACCCATCATGATTAGTTGATGATACAAGGACCAGGAGAAACAAACTTAAGATCTTGGGTAAGAGATGTAGAGGATTGCGTGGAAGAGTTTTATATACAGCAAAGGTACCTGGAATTCTGCCCACGAAATGGGAATCAATGCTTTCAAAAGGAAATTGGGTGGACACTTGAAGGAGTTAAAGCTGTAGGCATGTAACCAGGGAATGGGACTGATTGGATTTTTGCACAGAGAGATAGCATGGACCTACTGGGCCAAATGGCCTACTCTTATGCCGTAATGACTTTTCCCTGATGATATGAAACTAGAATGCGGTTTCTAACTGTCCAATGATTGCTGCCTGTAACTTTGCGGTGAGGATATTTGCCTGCTTGTTTCTCCCACAGGACAGGAGTGTTCACTTTTTTTTCACTGAGGGCAGTGGGAATCTGGAATTCACTGTAGGGCTGGTAAAGGCAGAAACTCAGAACACTGAACAGTTATTTCAATGTACATTTGTGATGCCAAAGCATACAGAGCCAAGTGCTGGAAAATGGGATTAGAATAGTTGGGCGTTTTTTGTTTTGACTGGTGAGGATGTGATGGGCCAAGGCTTTTAACTGTGCTGTAGATCTCCTTGCCTCTATGACTCCGGCTGGATCCTGTGTGAGCCACACAGCCAGTTATGTCTGCATAAAATGGGTCCTGCTAAAGACTCCCAATGTGGACCACATCAAAGAGTGTGCCAACATGGCACAGCGATAGGCTGTAATCGTTCTGCCAAGCTTGGCCCACACTTGTGGCAGCTCAGAGCCAAACATTAACTGAACCTCACCCTGCCTCACAGCCATGTACTACCCTGTGTGGGATAAAAGGAACTGTCTCACAAAAAGGTTTTATTTAAATGAGACAGGCTCTCTTACCAGGTTTGATAAGGGAAAATATTCTAGAACATTCTTCGCTATGCCCTAAGATCACTGGGACCAATCCAGGAGCTAACCCCGACCACTCATTAATTGTTAACCCCGTTTCCTTCTATTTTCTTTAATTATTCACAGGATCAAGGGGGTGAGTTTGTCTTGTGGCATTGTGGTATTGGCCTTACCACCATCTCCATGGCAACTGTGAACACGAAGTGACATGCATATTTTGTGAATGAATGTCAGAAAGAAGTCTTGTTCAGTCACCATGAGGGAATGAGAACTGGACTCTGTTCTCCAAACGTGATTTGATTACCTCTCAAAGTTACAGAGAGGGCACATTTCTATCTTAAGGTTGTACTGAAACAACCCAATACCCTGTTTGCACTGGCACAGCTTCTCTGTACTAGCTGTGAATCATCATTGATCCAGGCACAGTAACACCAGGATCATTCTATCTGTCACTTACAGTATTGTTCCTTTATGGACACGAGTTTGGTGTTGGTCCTGCCTACATGCTGCGGTGGTTTGGGTCAAACAATACTTGTAATGTTTCCCTCGAGTCACCTTTTCTCAGAAGATTGCACTGCTCGTCATATTCGACTCTTGTGCAGATTATAGTGGCATCTGCAAACTTGCCGATCATCCCCCAAGAACCACTGACAAGGTCAATGAAAAAGGTGAAAAGCAATGAGCCCATCACCAAGTCCTTGTGTCCCTTTACCTAAGGAAAGATATATTTCTATTGGAAACAATCCAGAGAAGGTTCATTAGATTTATACCAGCTATAGAGGGACTGTCTTATTAGGTTTAGTTTGGGCCTGTATAGATTGGAAGTTAGAAGAGGGTGAGATGACCTTATTGGAACATACAAAATTTTTAAGAGACTTCACAGAATATATTTGGAAAGGTCTTTTCCCCTTGTGCAGAGTCTAGGACGAGAAGGTAAAATCTCAGTAAAAGGTCACTCTTTTAAGACAGAGATGAGGAGGAACTTCTCTCGGGAGTGAATCTTTACTGCAGAGAGCTGTTGAAGCTGGTTGTGAAATAATCTCTCTACCTCAGTTTTGAATATTTTAATCAGTAAATGAATTGATGGGTATGGTGGGAAAAGGCAGGGAGGTGGAATTGAAGATCAACCATGATCTCATGGTGGAGTAGACTCAATGCGCTGAATGGCCTGCTTCTGCTCCTATGTCTCATGGTCACTCCAGCAGAAAGTTGCCTCCTGTCTACAACCTTATGGCTGTGGAATTGAAGTCAATTCCTAATCCAGGGCCTCAAACTCCCTGATACTTTATAAGACAGAATCTTCTTGTATTGTCTTCTTATTCACTATAAAATACTAGCTCAGCAGGATCTTTCTAATTTGTAGCATGTTCATCAAAAACTCAAGCATCAAATTCCAAAGACAAGAACTTCTTTTGAAGAAATCATGTTGACTATCTTGAATGACCCTTTCCCCTTCCCAGGAACTAATGGATCTTATCAAGAGATGGGAGTCTTTTTCTTTGTGTACAGTGTAATGTTTTTGGAACTGAACTAGTATTGCATGCTCCTCGCAGCCAATTCCAAAAACTAATTGTATCTGTTCAATGAATTGTGTTCTAAAACATTAAGATGCTATAATCATGGAATCCCTACAATGTGGAAGCAGGCCATTTGGCCCATCAAGTCCACACTGACACTCCAAACAGCATCCCACACAAACCTCACCCCACCCACTACCCTATCCTTATAACCCTGCATTTCCCATGGCCAATCCACCTAACCTGCACATCTTTGTTCTGTGGGAGGAAACCAATACAGACACAGGGAGAATGTGCAACCTCCATACAGATAGTCACCCGAGGCTGGAATATGAACCCAGGTCTCTGGTGTTGTGAGGCAGCAGTGCTAACCACTGAGCTATGTCACACCCAAATGTTGCAAAATCCCAGGTGACTTACTAAAGTCCTTCAGAGACTCTTACCCGTTCAGAGCTGTATGTCATTCCAGTACCACTCTACATGGGTTCGACTGTAACTGAATCCGGAGTCATCAACAACAGCTACTTAAAATAAATTGTACATTAAATTATCAACTACAATAGCAATTGTTACTCACTAAATTCTCCATGAGGTGCTCAAGTCAGAGGCACAGCTGACATATCACCCTTCCATGGTGTCACATCCCATCAACAAATCTAAATACATCTCATACTAAGACTTCCCTCACAGCTCCATTATCCAGGACCTCTTTCTGAGCTTTTCCACCCCTTCAATTATAGACTAGAATGCAAATCAAATTTGGTTTGTGTCTTAGGCCTAACACTTTTCATTTGAAAATTAAGTTTAATATATTTGGTTTAGGTATAGAAAACAGAAGCAAGAGTAGTCCATTTGGCTCTTCAAGCCTGTTGCATCATTCAATATGATCATTGCTGATCATCCAACTTAGTCCCCTGTTCCTACTTTCTCCCTTTAGGCCCAAAAACTATTTCTAACTCCTTCTTGAAAACATCCAATGTTTTGGCCTCAACCGCTATCTGTGGCAGAGAATTCCTCAGGCTCACCACTCTCTGGGTGAAGACATTTCTCCTCATCTCAGTCCTAAATAGCCTACCTCATATCATTAAACTGGAACCCATGGTCATCCCAAACATTCTTCCTGTGTTTACCCTGTCTAATCCTGTTTAAATAGAAGGATAATTAACTTAGGTGAGGTTTCAATACCTGAGGAGCAAGAGGGTAACTAGAGAAAGGGTTGGCCCACTCAAGGACAAAGGAGGGAAGTTATGCAAGGAGTCAGAGAAAATGAGGGAGATTCTTGATGAGTATTTTGCGTCAGTATTCACCGAGGAGAGGGACATGACGGATGTTGAGGTTAGGGATAGATGTTTGATTAGTCTGGGTCAAGTTGGCATAAGGAGGTGGGGGGGGGGGGGGGGGAAGCAAGTGTTGGGTATTCTAAAAGGCATTAGGGTGGACAAGTCCCCAGGTCCGGATGGGATCTATCCCA